CCCCCCCCCCCAAAAAAAAAAAAAAGGTTCCCCAATGATCTACAGCTAGGTGGACAAATTAGAATGGCACGTCTGTTTCGTTTCTTGATTTCCCACCTAATTTCAATACAAAAAGAGGGGAATATTTTCATTTGAAAACTTAGTTCAATTTTAAATATATAATGAGCAGTCAACATTATTTTAAACTACCAAGTTCTAATTTTGTGCCAAGTAGCACCAAGAAAGAGATAACATGAGCATTAATGGCATGAGATAAGAGTCAGCTTATATATATATATATATATTGCTTTGTTATCATAATTTTTTTCCTTTATTAATATTGCTTATTATAATTTCTTATTAGGTTTGTCATTTATATCTAAGGAACGTTTCTGCTTGATTGTCATTATTGTATTTGTTATTCCACTGCTTGAAGTCACATGTACTACAAATTGGGGTCTAGATATAGTTCTAAAATACTACTTATATGATTATAAATATATATAAAACTATTATTTTTGCTTCGATGTTTTTAGACAAGTTAAGGCACTAACAAATAACAATACATTTTTTCTCCTTGAATTGTCAATTAATCAATTTATTGCATGTTTGATTGAACAATTTGTCAAATAAATTAGTCCATGATCATGAAACAACATTATTCTCCAAGAAATCGCCAATCATAAATTTTCTTGGCCGTCCGTATATATAAATCATAATGTTACGTACAGTCAAAATGCAATATACAACAGATGCAAAGTATTTAATTATGCATCATTCAAAATCAACATATTTGAGAACCATGTGGGTTACACATGAGCGCTTTTCTATCTACACTAGAGGAAGTATAATTGTCCCTCAAGGAATATATTGATCTGGCTCATTGAATTTTGCTTAATAATATTGCAAATTTCTTCAATCCTTTCATGAGAAAAGTAGGGAATGCGTTTCCCTTAATTCACTTTTTGATGATATATATATTTATTTATTTATTTCGTATTGTTCTCTTAAAATTATCTCTCTTATTTTTTAAATTAAAAAATAAAAAATAAAGATCTTATAGGACATAAAACATAACATAAATCTTTAAAATTTCTTACTAGATGGTTTTTCCTCTAAATTTTCCTTCAGTTTCTCTGGCTCCTTCTAGGAAGAGTAGTGGCTTTTGTTTTCACATGGTAGACAAACTTAATCAAAAACTTCATGACATGTTTGGTACATCGTATCATATTAAATTGTATTGTATTGTATAACATTCTCACATATATATTTCTTCCTAAAGAATAGCAACTATCACAATCATTTTAAATTGTGAGGCCAATGTCTTTATTCGTCACACTTCTCGCTCGATTCTACATTACTGTACTTCTACTTGACACCTATCATAATGATAAATGATTCGTCTCGCGGTCAACTCGAATTAGCGAAGTGAACGGGCCTTTAATCAAAAACTTCATGACATATTTGGTACATCGTATCGTATTAAATTGTATTGTATCGTATAGTATAACATTCTCACATATATATTTCTTCCTAAAGAATAGCAACTATCACAATCATTTTAAATTGTGAGGCCAATGTCTTTATTCGTCACACTTCTTGCTCGATTCTACATTACTGTACTTCTACTTGACACCTATCATAATGATAAATGATTCGTCTCGCGGTCACTCTCTCTCGAATTCTCAAAACTTCCGTCGCTCTACCCTCGCAGGGGCAGAAAACCCATTGTTGTATTACCAGAGGCTCTAGAGAAGTTGAAATAGGAGAGCTCATCTTGGGACGAGCTTACTACTTCGATGCTTTATTTCATCAATTATCTTTACAGCACTATTTGTAACAACTCACACCAACTCATGTAATTTTGATCTAATTCTGCACGGTTTTGTTATGATCTTGCGTGATTTTGCTCTTGGATTTTATCCTATTAAGACTCCATACTATTGAAGATGATGTCTTCACTTATGTAAAGACTAATTTACCATTTCTTCGCATTTTTATCTGTTAGGATTGATGTTTGACAAAATACACCTCTCTTTTTCAAGTATAACGTACGATAATGTTGTAACTTTGATAGCATTTACAATTGCCTACACCTCAATTTACTATGATATTTTACGCTTTGTGCCCTAACTCCACACGACTTTGATCCTATCATCTTGGGCTTTAATCCAAATGATGCACTCTTTGCATGAAAACATAACAAATATTAAATTAAAATGTTAGCCATCTCGTAAAGCTAAGAACGTAAATAAATCATTTTTTACTTGTTTTAATCTATTTACAATTCGAACGCTGTTTAAACCCGAGATAAATATTTTTGACTTGTTTCTAATGTTTTTTCCTTTTTAATGATTGTTTGCTTGTCATTTTTATTTTCGAATGAGAAGAATAGTTTAATGTTTTTTTTTTTTTTTTTTTTTTTTGGGTTAAGCATTTACAAATATTTTGATAAGAAAACCAACAGTAGAACAGTCGGAAATTGCAAAGTATCACGGTAGAATACCAGCGGTTACGAACTTAGTATTCAATTTCTGGAATTTTTAGTATCACGGTGGATGATATCTCCTAGTGCCGAAACAAGGGCTCAGCTTGGTGGGGTTTCTTTCTAAGAGAAAATTAGGCCTCGTTCGCTTCGCAGATTCGAGTTTTTAATTCAAACTGAGATATGACATTTTCTGAGAGCTTTTAACTATATCAAAAAAAATTAAATGTGATATTTTCTGAGAGCTTTTAACTATAGAAACCTAGAGCTGAAAACTCAAATCGGTGAAATAAATGAAGCCTTAGTGAATTTATTTTTAAGAATGTATGAATCTTGATTTTTATATTTTATTTTTAATTAATACTCTTTAAATAAATATAATTATTTAATTAAAAAAATGTTAATCAAAATAAGAGGTAAAAATCTAGCTCAGTGTATTTCTCTACTTTTCCCTTTTCTCTAAAGTGCAAAGTGAAATTGGGCTCCACTCTAAGGCCCAACGGGTAGGATCAAGACTCAAGGCCAGCCCAGAAAGGCCCATGAGGTTGCCTATCGCATGCTACACAAAATCCAAGATACAGAGGAGAGCAGAGAACTAAACGGATAGGACAGACCGGGAAAACCAAAAACCTCAACCTGTCAAAACGAAAAAAATATCAACCAATTTCTCAAAATCCCCCCAAGTGTTGTTGTGTTAAGCAGAACAAAGCTTACTCAATTCTATGAAGTGCCCAACTTCATAAAACGAGAAGAAGAAGAAGAAGATGCAAATCCTCTGTAAGTGCTCTTTGCTTCCTCTCACCAGTTTCGATTTTCTTCACAACAACCACACAACAGTTTCAAAAACAACCCCGTTTTGTTGCCCATTTTCTTCTTCTACGAATAGGTCGCTTAGAAATTTAGTTTTCTCCAAGAAATTTCCAATTTTGAGGACAACCCACTTCGCCTTTTGCTCTAGAAACGACGTTTTTGATGGTTTCTCGAGTACCCGTTTTTCCAATACTTCTGAAGAGGATGGAGATAGAGAGAATGGAGAGCTTGGTTTGCTGGATAAACCGTTGCCAGTTACTAAAGAGAATGATGAGTCTGATTTAGAATTAGAAATGGATGATGCGAAAGTCGAAAAGGACGAGGCTTTAGCGCCTTTTCTGAAGTTTTTCAAGGGGACAGATGATGGGTTGGAAGGAGGAGTGAAAGAAGAGGAAGGTGAAGTGGGAGTTATTGATGAGGCGAGATGTGTATTGGATGATGAGGATGAGGAAGAGAGGAAGGTTAATGTTGAGTATTACGAGGCGAAACCCGGGGATTTCGTTGTTGGAGTGGTTGTTTCAGGGAATGAGAATAAGCTTGATGTGAATGTTGGGGCGGACTTGTTGGGTACAATGTTGACTAAGGAGGTGCTGCCTTTGTATGACAAGGAGATGGATTACTTGATGTGTGATCCGAGTAGCGATGCCGAGGAGTTTTTTGTGAAAGGAAAAATTGGAGTTGTGAAGTATGATGAGGCTGTGAGTGGGGGGCAGAGGCCGGGAAGGCCGGTTGTGGAGCCTGGGACTGTTTTGTTTGCCGAGGTTCTTGGAAGAACGCTGAGTGGACGGCCATTGTTGTCGACTAGGCGGCTCTTCCGACGGATTGCTTGGCATCGAGTGAGGCAGGTTCTTTTCTCGCTTTTTTTTTTTTGTTTCTTTTCCTGTTTAGTGAATTTGGAAATTTTGGTGGGGAACGCACACCAGGTCAAGTTAAATGCATGAATGTTGTTGATCATGTTGTGTTTTATATCTCGTGTTGAAATTTTGCATCAAGAGTTACAAGAAAATTAAATGAAATCAAGGATGGGAAAGAAAATAAGCCTAAGAACAATCAAATAGAAAGAGAGACATGTTTCTTTTCCTGTTTAGTGAATTTGGAAATTTTGGTGGGGAACGCACACCAGGTCAAGTTAAATGCATGAATGTTGTTGATCATGTTGTGTTTTATATCTCGTGTTGAAATTTTGCATCAAGAGTTACAAGAAAATTAAATGAAATCAAGGATGGGAAAGAAAATAAGCCTAAGAACAATCAAATAGAAAGAGAGACAAAACTCTTACATGGCTTGGAAATTTGGCTACATTCACGGAAAAAAAAATACAAAACTTTAATGCACTTATCATAACTGGGATAACCTCTGAATGAGGAACTTAATTTTCTCTCATAAAATATTGAACGCCTCCACTACAACATATGACTACTCCAAGACACTTAATACCTAGTTTTTGTTCAATTCTCTACTAAAAACATGAATTCATATTGGTTTCTACGAGGTTTGGTGCCTTGTTATACCAAAGGTAACTATCCTTCCTTTACAGAATGGATAGTGCCATAGCAACTAAAAGAAAAACCTATGTTTTTTCTCTTTCTTTTTCCCTTAATGGATAACAATCTCTGCAATTTTTAGAGCCACATTTAACCCGAAATCTTGCTGATTTGGCGTTCACCCAATCTATAACATGTTATTACCAACATAGAAAGTGATAGGAACCTAGCAATTTCTTGGAAAAAAAATACTATAGAAATCACACTCAAGACATTGATGCTTTTGTTGCATTATTTAACATCTTGCATCAGACGTCTATATGCTTCTCTGAGGCAGCCTTTTAAATCAGAGCTGATTTTTTTTTTTTTTTTTGGTTAATTTAAACTGGGATTCATTGATATTATGTTTCTTTTTTATTTCTTCTTTATTTCTACAAAAATTCTGCTGTTCGCTTTCTAGTCAACATTATTCAAACTTTTCACTGATATTTTTTTTTTGTTGGACAGATACAACAACTAAATGAGCCTATTCTGGTTAGAATTACAGAGTGGAATACCGGGGGCCTTCTCACAAGAATTGAGGTTAGTGTGTTAGATTTCTATGTATTTGCATTTCAGCTGTGTGTTAATTCAGTTGTTTATATTGTCGTTTGGTTTTGCAGGGTTTGCGAGCTTTCCTTCCCAAAGCTGAATTACTGAAAAGAGTGAACAACTTTAGTGAGTTGAAAGAAAAGGCAAGTTATAAATCTTCAAGAATTTGCCTATGCATCATATCTTCTTCTTACTAGAGTACATTTGCTGATCCCGAATGATTTTTGTCGCTAACACTTCGGCTTGTTTTGATATTTTTCCATAATTTGCATCACCTTGTTATTTATGCACATCCGCCTTTACGAACATATTTCACCAAACCCTTTCTTTCTGAAGGAAACAGAACATATAAGTTGCAAACAATACTTATGTGTAAGAGTATGGTGTAAGAATGTTTGATTTCTTATTGGTGGGAGAATTTTTGATTGATCATTGGGGAACTCTTCCTTTGGATCATGGTTTTATCATTCTCGTTATGCAGTACAAGTTGGCTCATAATACTAGTTATTTTTCACTCCTCGCTGAATCTTAGGTCAATATCTGTCTATCCTTGACTACGTCTTAAATCAAATGTTCATTTCGAGGTTATTGAAAGAATATACCTATCAGCCTTTTCTTTTAAAGGCTAATAATGACGTAATTTGGATTAAACATACCTTTCATCATTGTATCTTCCAGTGTTGGTCCAGTTGTCGATAGAATCCTTCATAATTGCAGTTGTTCTATCAAGTCTTTTTAACCGATTTTCAGATTCAATTTGAGTGCTATTTAATAGCCAGAGTTCAAGTAACAGAAGATGATACACTTAGGACTTTGAGATAAAATAGATGAACTTTGAGTTTCTATTTAGAGCCTATCTTTCTCTAAGCTTAGCTGATAGGACTATGAACTGTATTCACACAATTCTATTTCCAGATATTTTGCCCTGCAATGGAAAATGTTGACGAGTCGTTTGTGAACAAGTAAAATGATTGAGGATTAGTATAGAGAAAATTAAACTTTCTCGGTTTGCTTTCAGTATACTGTATTATTGTCCCTTTTTTAGTACTATCGACTATGGAGTGCCAGTCTATTTATCCTGTCTTCCTCACTGCTAAGACTGGAATAGTCAGTCTCTATTAATCCTTCCATGCGTTTGTTAACTCCCCTTTTTCGTTTTTAAATTGAATGTGTTAAGACACGTATACAACTATATGTAGGTCCATAATACTAATTTAGGTGTTCTTTTTTAATCTGTTTATTGATAAATAGGTGGGATGCCAGATGAGTGTGCTGATTACTCGAATAACTGAAGAGAAAAATGACTTGATACTAAGTGAGAAGGAAGCTTGGGTCAGTTTTATATAAAATTTTCAGTTGTTTTTGCATCTTTTTTCCTCCTCCCCTTAACTGTTTCTTGTACTATTCTTACATTGCTATTTTTAATTTTAAAGCTTTGCATTTAATTTTGCAGCAAATGCTATACCTTCAAGAGGGAACTCTTTTGGAAGGGACCGTTAGGAAAGTTTTTCCATTCGGAGCCCAAATAAGAATAGGCGAAACTAACAGAAGGTAACGGATTTGCTAGTGATACTTGAATCGTGTTGCATAAGCTAATTCCTAGAGTTTCCTGTATTGAAAGAATGAGCGAGTTATTTCTGGAGTAATTAAGCTGGGGTTTGAAAAGTGAAGGGGGCTCAATAGAGTTCTTTGTAGATTTAATGAACACCTCGTAAAGAAAGAGGAAATGATATATTTTAATCGATTTGAAAAAACCAAATGGTGTATAGTTATGAAAACTTAGAAAAATAGTAAAAGTTGGTTGTTTTGCATTAAACACATACATGTGATGCTTCCCTGCAAACGTACATAGTTTTTAGATATGGCAGAACCTGCTAGGCGTTATTACGAACAGACAAGTAATTTTGTGAGTCATTGTATTTGTTTGTTTTACGGTAACTTCATTTGCTTTGATTTGGTTGAAACTATAGAAGCATTTATAATAGATGTCAGAGACCAAATAATGTGAGTTGATAATTGAATCTAATCGTTCCTGCACCACCTTTTTATTTGTTTGTCTATCTATTTATGTCTGGGTAACTATAATGTATCTATGCCATTTTAATATCACTGATCTTGCAAAATAGACAAGATGTTAGAAATGCTTTAGACATATATAAATACTACCATGCTGGACCCTTATGGGACTTTTTAACTTTCCTTTCTGATGGACTGCAAATCTGGATAGAAAAAGCTTTCATTGTTGTAGTAGCAGTTGTTGGCATCCAATCCAATCAAGTGCCTTTTTATCACAACCAATCCAGTTCAGTACCATATTGGATTTCGGAATGTTACATCCAATGCAATCCGGCTAATGTACAAAATCCAATCCAGATTGGATTTGATGTCCCTTTTTTCCTTGGCTAGTTTACAATTTAAGATTCTAAATAACCATTAATAGCAAGTCCATACTCCATAAAAATAAAAGTAAGAAAACTAAAATTATAATGGAAATAAGACATTTCTTTAATTGATATTTGATATGGTGTTGTCTTGTAGGGTATCTACTATCTACTAACTATTGTAAACATGATTAAGATAATAAAGTGTATATTTATATGTTGGATTGCACCAGTTGATTGGATATTGCCAATCAAAAGCTGCAACTGATCTAATCCAATTGAATTCTTATTTTGCAACCAACTCAAACTCAATATAATTAGGATTGAATATGCTATCCACATTGGATTGGTTGAGTACTCAATTGCAATCTACTCAGACCTACTTCTACTTAGACGTGTACATTTAGAGAGTTCATGCATAATTTGTGGTCGTGTTAGCTTAGACATAAGACTATCTATGCTTGTTGGTTGAATTAGTTTGATGTCTGGCTTGGCAACTTAGCTATCATAGGGGTGAACTAATTATTGCAATTGGATAACCGACCGATCTAATCCAATGTAGTCCAATGTGGTTGGTGACTAGAAAATTAATTAGGGTGTGTTCTTTTCACAACTCAAATCATAACACAAACTTTTTTATGTGACAGAAAACACTGTAGCAAAAAAGTTGACTTCGAATTTTTGTGAGAGAAAACACTATAGCAAAAATGTTTGAGTTGTGATTTGAGTTGTGTAGAGAACAAGGCCTTAAGTTTGTGGAAGTTTATTAAAAAACCATCCTCCAATCCAATCCAATTATTAAATAGATTTTGTACATTTCTTAGATTAGATTGTATTTTGTACATATGGGTGAGAATCCAATCAAATCCGAACCAATATAGTGTTAGGTTGGATTTATTGTAGCAAAAATACTGAATCGGATTGGATGCTCATGTTAGGATCCTGGTTGAGTCCCACATTACTAAAGTATGGGCTTAGCATGTGGGTTTATAACCACTTGGGCACCCTCTCCCTACAAGCTAGCTTTTGGGGATGAGTTCTACCCAAGGGTTATAACAATTGGTATCAGAGCATGCTCCTCCTCAGGCCCACGTTGCGGAAGGGGCGACCTGGGGAGGGGCGACCTGGAAAGGCCAGAGTGGGCCATCCAGAGTGGGCCGCCGTGGATGTCGGTGTCGGAAGCGTGGTGGTATGTTAGGTCCTGGTTGAGTCTCACATTGCTAAAGTATGGGCTTAGCATGTGGGGGTTTATAACCACTTGGGCACCCTCTCCCTACAAGCTAGCTTTTGGGGATGAGTTCTACCCAAGGGTTATAACAGCTCACCCATAAGCTATCACATATATTTGTTAACCACCATGTTTGTCTCCCTTTTCCCCTAAAAGAAAAGAGAAAAAGAAAGGAAAAGGAAGGAACAAAATTCTCAACTGCAATAGGAATTTTAAGGCCACACTTGAAATCCTTGTGTATGACAGTTATTGTCCTGTGGATCCCTTTTCCCACAATTTTGTTTTGTATTCCATGGGTTATACCGGTTGTTTGGAAAGGTTAGGCCTTCAGTTTGCTCAGTTTGAACTACCTTATGGGCACCTACATGACAAAAGAAAGAGAAAGTCTCAGGGCTTTCATCGGTATGGCGAGCCAGAAATAGTGATGTGTTTTTATAACAAAGTGCAAATGGGGGTTCGAACTACCTTATGGGCACCTACATGACAAAAGAAAGAGAAAGTCTCAGGGCTTTCATGGATATGGCGAGCCAGAAATAGTGATGTGTTTTTATAACAAAGTGCAAATGGGGAAAAAGAGAAGTATATGCCAGAGTAGTTTTTGATTCCTTTGGTTTATTGTTTGCTTGGATTTGGGCATTTTGACAAATGCTCAATCTTTTCGTATGGCAATTTTCAAAACCTTTTTATGTATACTAAGGTGCTCAGTGGTCAAACAATTATTAGTGTTAAGTGAAGAAGAATCCTTGTCATCTGACTTGGGACAATCAGCAAGATTGAGCAAATAGGATTGGATTCCCTTATATATAAAATGAAAAGAAAGTAAAACAAGTACTGAAATAATCAAATCTGAACATCCTTACTGTCATATTTATAGAAATGAATGTAAACTAAGCGTAACTTCTTTCTTGTTCACTGTAGAGTGGTTTTGGCATGTTTCTGATCGTTTTGTGTCGTTTTTGCTCGATATTCTTGATCTTCTCTTCATCTCTGTTCGAGAATTGCCTTAACATTCTGTTGCTTCTCAGTGGCTTGCTGCATATTTCAAACATCTCCCGGGGCCAAATCTCTTCAGTCAGTGACTTGCTTGCTGTTGATGAGAAGGTTAAAGTTCTGGTTGTGAAGTCTATGTTTCCGGAAAAAATATCTCTCAGGTACTGAGGACTATGTAAACTGTTTTTCTGTATTCCTGTATTCTCATTTTTTGATCCACTTAATACTTAACTGGTGAGGACAGTCCATCTGTTTAGCTTTCGCACTCGTTTTAGTAGCCCAAATACGGAGATTCTTAGGCCCTTATAGGTGGCGTGCTAATAAGCAAGTTCATCAACTTAAATACGCATCTAGTGAACAGAGTAATTGTATATACCCACCCATAGAGTACTGTTTTTAACCATTAGATCTTCATCAAGTTCTGTCAAACTTTTTTACTTTTCTAATGTCTAGATCTGGAATGATTCTGTTTTAACTTGAAGGTTTGGAATTGTGTCCTACTGATAAGCATCTAGTGTAACAAAGAAAGCAATTGTATCTAGAATTGTCTTCGACTGAGATATGCTCTACTTTTTCACTTATATACAACAATTTGTCGAGTAAAAGAACAATTTCATCCATCTCTCGAGTGATTGCAGTACAATTTGTTGGTTCTTATGTATTGATGATTAAATTGCAACTCCTGCGAAAACTGAGGAAGTATAGTTTAATTTGGGCCTTTGAAAGTCGAATACAACACTCGGTTTAGCATCCCATTTTAGTAAGCCTTCAAGAGAAAAGTACATGGTTTGTCATGGTTTTGTGCAGGCCTATTATTTATGCCATTCTAAATAATTGAGTGTCACTGTGGCATTTTGTTTTCTCTTTATTAATTGAGTGGCAATCGTTTATTTTTGAATGGAGTGGCAATTGTTTATTGCATTTATCAATAAATAAATCATTCTTCCATGGAGAAATTTCATGTCTCCTACCCACAAGTGCCACTTACCAATTTTTCCTTTGATCCTTGCAGTATTGCTGACCTTGAAAGTGAGCCTGGACTCTTTTTAACAAACAAAGAGGTGTTTATGTTATTCTTTTCCTCATAATTTATAAAGTCTCGAGTAGTTCTTCATTTCAGTTACGAGCATAATTCTGAAATTTCTTCCTCTTGACAGAGAGTATTTTCCGAGGCTGAAATGATGGCAAAGAAGTACAGGAAAAAGCTACCTACTGTCTTAGCCACAGGTAGGTCCAAATCACCTCCAACAAGTGATACTCTAAATTTTGAGAATGAAGCAAAGATGTATGCGAATTGGATGTGGTTTAAATTTGAAAGGGATGAGAATCAAACTGACCCTTAAGGTTGCATTTTCGATACCGTGAACATGGATTGAGGGAGAGTTCTCCCTTGGCCTTTCCTGCTCCTTGTGTTGCCGAGAAAAGAGAATGAGCATTCTTTCAGAATGAGTTTCTATTGCAGCAAGATTACTTGGCCATTTTGGAGATTACAGAAATAGGATCAGCGGAATATTAAGACGATCACAGTCTACAAATCATTTGATAACCACGTTTGATCACCCTACTGAGATGTGTAGTCATATCCCTTCTGTTAGTAGCTTTAACTGTACCATATTTAAGATGGAAATTATCATTTTCATTCATTTGTAATGAATTTATAAGCTTCATTTTCCCTTCCCGTTTTTGTACTAGAGTTTTGTTTTTTGTTTTTCAATTTGAATTCGGGTTCAAACCCGCGCCCTCTGAAACTCAAGTCTCACACCGCCCAAAGTCGTTTGACCTAGTTGTAAATTGTAATAGAGTTTGAGTTGACCTTAATGCTAGTTTCTCATATTGGATCAGAATCTAATTATTAAAGTTGTCTTAAAGCTTGAGAAACATACTGTTTAAATTTTCAAGCTCTTTTCATTTGATCCTTGAGTTTACCAACGACCCGTCTGAAATCTAAATCATATGCTCCCTTTGAACTTTGAAGCTTCACTCACTTGCATGAGGTACTTAATGTGTTTGTTTTGTAGGTTCGATTCAAACTTTTTTACTATAGTGTTTTCTCATTTCCGTTTAAATTTTTCTGTTCAAACTTGTAAACAAAACGAGCCTTTTTGTTTGATAACTAGAGCATGCAACTAATTCACATCATCACATGCAAAGGTGTTGTTGCTTATTGCTCTTCTTTCTTCGTCTAAACGTATTACATACACGGAGGATTCTGCAGTAGGGAATTGAGGACACAATTCTAAATCGTGAATTATATCATATGAAGACAAGTATTGTAATCCCCTATATATATATATAGATATATAAGTTACTAAGATAGTTTGAAAATTTGTAAAACAATAATAACAGAATAAAAGAAGCACTTTGCGATGTGAAAAAAAGAAAAGAAAAGAAAAGAAAAAAAAAAAACATAGCATTAAGTGGTGCTTGATATTTTCTAGAAGCTTAATCAATAACGAATGCGTGTATTATATTTGTTTAATATATATATATATATATTTAATGATGTTGTGAAGATATCAGTACATGAAAAACTGAGGTAATACACACAATTCGAATTGTTGATTTATCGCGAGAGATGGCTTAGAAGTAAAAGTTCATTATTTAATGGATGTTTCCGCTCTAATATTAGATAATTCCGTTCTAATACTACATAGACACGGCGGTTCTATTATGTTGCCGTTTCATGTATGGTAATCTCGTCGCTAGTAGGGACAAATAGAGGGGTTTTTTTTTTTTTTTTTTTTTTTTTTTTTTAAATTTTTAATAGTAGGGACACAAGTTTGATGTTTTATAGATCACTTAAACTAAATCCCACACCCAATAATTAAAAAAAAAAAGTTAAGGGGAATTCATTAAAATAAATAAAGTTTTAGCTCTGATTAGCTATGATATAATTCTCTCTAAATCTTTCATATTTTGTCGTCTCTTTTATAATTAGAATTGTACATTTCTCTCCCTGGCATTGACGCCGGAAATTCTTCTCCAGGCACAAAATAGAACTTTCCTCATAAAATAATAATAGGGTGCAGAAAAGAACTTTAGGGCCCGTTTAGTTCGCTGATTCGAGTTTTTAATTCGAGTTGAGATATGATTTTATGTGAGAGCTTTTTACTGTAGCAAAAAAGTTAGATTTGATTGTTTGTGAGAGCTTTTTACTGTAGCAAAACTCGAATTCTAAACTCGAATCAGCGAAATGAGAATTTTTACTGTATTTACATAAACGAAAAGGACAATGTCATGTTTGACCCGAAAAGACTTTATGTTCTAAAACATAAAGCCGGAATCCTGTAAGATGTTTAATGAAAATTTAAGAAAAATTTATGTTTGGTTTAGTGGAAAGTTATGTGTAGACCTTAGTCTACATAATCAATTTGTTGCTTACCATATTAGAAATACATATTGTATATGTTTGATAACAATTAGTCTGCGCCTCATGATTTTGGGGGGCATCTCTTTTTGTCTTCTTCATGCTCTCCACTATTTGTTCAAAAATGCCTTTATTTATTTTTTGTTTCTTTTTTTACATTTCCTTTCCCCCTTTCTTTCTTTTTCTTTAGTATTGATATTAATTTTATTATTATTATTATTATTATTATTTGTAGACAAAAGGGAAGATCAGAAGTATAATCCAAGTAAATAAGTAGATCATGTAGTAAGTTATGGCCTGACCAATATTATAGGGTTGGGGGCTCCATGAATTTAATTTAAAGTCCTCAAACGGTCAAGAAAGGTGTCATAAAGTCAGTCAACATTGATATAAAAAATAAAATCATCTAGCTGCCCTTTGATTTAATTTATTTATTTTTTTTGGGCTTAGCCTGTAGCATAGGATGTGAAAATAATTAATATGCTCATGAGCATAGGATGTGGAAATTTTCCTTTGCTTATGCGGAGAGTCCAAAAAACTACTCTACTTTAACACGTTTTACTGTGTTTTTTTTGCACATTTGTCTCTGAACGTATAGGGTTTTGATAACCTATTGCTTAAAAAATTTTGGCAATTAACCCTTCCAACTTGTAAAATTGTTATATTATGTCTCATTTTATTAATTTTGTTATGATTTTTTTTGGGTTAAATTTAAAGGATTGAGAGTTGGGCACTTGAGAGATTTATGTTACTGTTTGAATAGTTATGTTAAAAGTTTTCATTGAAGGTGATTTTTGTCACTAATTTAACACAACCCATAATAATGGTTTGACACATTTATTAAACCTGCTACAAGATTGATGTTTTCTGACACAATTAATAAACGATTTGCCATGACCTTAACTTGTTAACATTGCCACACCCTGGCGTTTGGTATGCAGTAATCTTAAGGATGGGAATGAGAATCTGCGATATTATCATGTTTAGTACAAGAATTATAATTTTTAGATTCCCAGTAATTATTATTATTATTATTATGGATCTTCTTCCATGCGAACAACCAAATACAGTAATGTAATATTCCTGGGAATTTCAAAAAGATTCATGTATGGAACAAAACACAGTAATGTATTATTCTTAGGAATCATATTACCCTCCATCACTTTTCTGGGAATATGATTCCTACTGATTCCCGCATACCAAACGCCCCTGTAGATTTTGAGATTTTCTTTCATTGAACATATATAAATCTTTGAAAACTTTTCATTGTATTCTGGCTGCCCGCACCGCCCCGCACTAAGACCCGCAACGCAATGACCCAATCCGTTAGGCTAACGAGCCGGTTCGGGTCAAAAATCAGTGGGCCGTGGATCCATACCTTGCTTTTTTTGTGTTTATATATATATAGTACTCAGTGAATATATATATATATATATATAACTCCACCATTGGTCAGAATGGCTATTTGATATTAAGCTTTAAAATCTGATGTTGCTATAAATAATGTATAACATCATTGATTTTCCCTAAATTAATAGTTCTGCCCCCGCCCCGCCTCCCTCTTTAGTGTACAAGTCATGAAATTCGATATATACCCCAAATTATAGCTCGCTTTCTTGGTAATTTTCAAATCCATATACATTCCATAATCAGCGTTCAAAAGAAAATAAAAAATAAAAAAAATAAAAGTAATAAAGTAAATGAACTAAGGTACAAGGGCACCTGTATTGCCCTTCTTGTGGGCTAAGGTTGTCTCATACAATTAAAGGTACTTCAAAGGTTAATGCTTGTAATTGAAGGCAATAAACATCAAATATATATATAGTATATATATGCTCCCCATATGGTGGTGCACTGTAAAGTGAAGACCTACGTAGCCTTAACTCAAGCTCTCCCCATCTCAGTGTGGTCTCACTATAATTAATATTTTGGGCATCATATTGTTTTCATACTTAGATATATATATATATATATACACACACACACACACACATATATATATATATATATGTATATTGATCAGTTTTCTAGTGCCCTAGTATAAGACGTACGTGAGCTGGTCAAACTAGTAATTTACTCACCTTCAAAAAAAAAAAAAAAACTGATAATTTACTTTCCTATTATAGATGTATACACACACATATAAACACATATTGTGTATATATTAAAATGTTGGAGTGTTATCAGGACTATAATATATATAAGAATCGGAGATGGGTACATATATATTGTGAATAAAGAAAAACACATACTAATTAATATAGTTATTAAAATGTTTACAAAGAGTTGAACCCCCTAAACTTGGTGGGAAAGACCAAATGGAACTCTCTTAGATACCATATTAAAAGCGCAACTTGTTGTTTAGGAGTAATTAGAAAAGAATAATGCTAGCGACATCAACTTAAATCTAAACTCTTATATACTAATTAGTGTGGCATGTGAGTTATCATTTTTATATTGGTGGATGTTTAATACATTGTCATGTCAATTAATGAAAGAGATTGCATCTACTAATAAAAAAATGACAACTCACATGTCATATTAGTTGGTAAAAAAAAATTAAAATTTGAGTTGGCATCCCTGGAATTAGTCATTACAAAATTCCCTAGCCCTCAACTATAAATGTGCCTCTCGATTTCTAAAATAAGTGACATATGTTTTCCACAATCTACGAAATATAAATTTAAAAAAAAAAAAAAACTCACTTTTACATGAATTTTAATGAAAATAACATGCATCACATAATGAATGAGGGTCGTTGACTCTACTAGCTTATTCCCTTTTGCAAAATTCCCCGGCCCTCAACTATAACCCTTGTAATGATGTGCCATTTGATTTTCAAAATGTAACATATGTTTTCTACGATCCATGAAATATTAATGAAAAAATTCATAAGAATTTTAACAAAAATAACACATGACACACCAAAAATGAGGGTCATTGAACAATTAGTGCACAATTACTCTGTTAGCTCATTTTCTTATCGTCGCAAGAAAGTGAGATTATTATTATTTAGTTTTTGAAGTCTTTAATTTATTTGATATAATATTTCTTTAACAATTATAATTAAATCAACTTTTGAATTCAAATCAGATTGAAGCATAATAGAGTTACCAAAACATAATCTATATACTATACATTTCAATTATATGTCAATTTTCGTTAAAAATTTCTAATAGAAGGAGGTTTTTTATTAATATTTTATAATTAAGAGGAGTAGATGTTATTCTTTGAAGATTGTGAGGCACGGTATTGTTACAACATAGTTCATGAGAGGGAATTTTTATGATTAATTCTATTGTTTAACATATAAACATAAATACAAAAAAGCCTAGTTATAAGGTATACTTTAGACCCCTCTTATGTATATGTGTATATATATATATATATATATGTCTGTCTCTTACTATATTTTTCAATAGAGATCGGTTAATTGGCTAATGCCGTATGTACCCAGTTATTAATGTGCATATAATTTCTTGCTTCACAAACAAACTAAATATCTTTTACGTAGCTAGTTAGAATATGATCAATTATTTTTTAGATCAATTTGCTTGTTAACGATTCGTCAATTTCAAGTAATGCCAG